CTTCTTGCAACCCTTTTTCCATGGCGACAAAATCAACAACATGAACACTTCTCACCACAACTTGTAAATTATTACCAAAAAATCAAAAATCAGGTGGAAGGGAGAGGATAAGCCTCTTATGAATTTATATCCCTATCCTAATAATGAAGCCTTTAACAGCCAAGAAACTCTATGATTTCCAAAAGCAACAAGATAAAACGGGAATCGTTTATCTATCACGTATTCCACCGTTCATGAAACCACTAAAAGTTCGGCATCTATTGGAAAAATTTGGTAAAATCGGACATATTTATCTTGCACCAGAAGGTAAATAATTTTTCTTGTTCGGATTTTAAAAAATTGCAATTAATAAAATATATTTGCATATTCAGACCCAAAAACTAGATTAAAGCGCAAAAAATATGGTGGAAATAAAAAGAAAAATTATACAGAAGGATGGGTTGAGTTTTTTGACAAGAAAGTGGCAAAGTCGGTTGCTGCATTATTAAATTCGAAACCAATAGGTAGACACAAATTCATCGTTGTTATTTATCATTCATTATTTTTTTATTTTTATTTTTGTTTTTAACTGATTTTTATTAGGCGGAAACAAACGAAACTTTTACCATGATGATTTATGGAATATAAAATATTTACCAAAGTTTAAATGGAATCATTTGACTGAGCAAATAGGTATTTGTTATTGTTATGTTTATTAGGCTGCACGTTAAATATTTTCTAACTTATAAATACATTAGCATACGAGAATGCCTCAAGAGCACAGAGACTCCAAGCTGAAATATCACAAGCAAAACGAGAGAACAAGGATTATGTAAGGAAAGTTGAAAAATCAAAAATGATCAAAAATATACAAGAAAAGAAACTCAAACGAAAAGTTACAAATGCACCTCATGATATGAATTTTGATGATAACAATGATAATAATAAAGATGACGAGCATGAGGTGAGAAAATTAAAAATCTCATTGTACGGAAATTTTATTCTCATATAATCATTGTTATTGATTATATTCGTAAAATTTCTATTTCAGGTGATACGTCGTAGGTTTAAGCAACGGAGGTTAATATCTAATGAATTGAATTTAGAAATTGACCATGATAATGTCTCGCATACTATTAGTAACAATCTAACAAGAGAAATTGACCCAGGAGTAAGTAAACTTTTAAATCGAGTTTTTGGAAAATAAAAACAAACGACAGCTTTGAGTTATTAATTTATTAGATAATCTAATGGATATTCGATAGAACGAGAATAGTATATAGTGTAATAAATATAGTTGATTTATTAGTAGGCTCGATGTAACGATTTTTTCTCTAATTCCCGTTTCATTGTAAATTTAAAATTAATGTAAATCCTTGAATTCGTAATTGGTCAAAAAAAATTATAACGATAATAGTAACTTTCATGTGAATCACGGAATATCAAGTACTAGCGACCCGTTAAGTTTCTATTAAAAGTTTACCATAATAATTTCAAGTCTAATCAATGTCACGTCTTCCATATCAATCACCTTCAAGACAACCACTTCTTCAAGGAGGAGGTGGAAATTATCGTCAATCTCCTCCTATTCCTCAAGATTTTTACGCGTCTAATGTTCCTCAAGCTCAAGGCATTCCTATGAAAGTTGGCCGTTGCCCTAGCGATACGTTAGCCAAAACCAACTATCTTTTCGTTTCTCCCAAAGATTTTGATCCAGCGGTCCGTCACGTTCTAGTAAACGGTCAATTCGTCTTTAGCATCAAGTAAAGTTAACTTAAACGGAAATGCTCAAATTTTACTTTCAATTATTTTAATCGATCAATAATTTTAATGCTTGTATGTGAATTAATTATCTAATCAGACCCGATGAGGGCGTACCTCCCCGCCAAATTGGAACTACATTATTTCATAGACGCTGGGCTTCCCTATCGCTAAACGAAGATATAATTGTAACCCCATACAGACCTGAAGGGGCAAACATTTATCTCGGAAAAATAGACTTAGAAGTCGGTTTTTTGAGAAAAGTCGAGAACAAAGAATTATTCGATACTGAGGAAATGTCAAGAATATTTATCCAGGTGAGGTGAACTTGAAGTTTTAGTTTATAGATTTTTTTTAACATGTATAAAAGATGTATGTTTAACCTCATAACTCTGATTTTAGAATTTTAATAATCAAATTTTTTCCATAGGCCAGGTGATGTTTAAATATTTGTAACACATTAATTGATGATATATCCTTAACAATTTTTTGTTTATAGGTATTAGTGTTTGATTTTCATGGTAATAATTTACAAGTTGTGGTGAGAAGTGTTCATGTTGTTGATTTTGTCGCCATGGAAAAAGGGTTGCAAGAAG